ATGTCAAAAACCCCGCCAGACAGTGCTTCACACCGTAGGTTATCCACATCGTGCAGGCACGGTGGCGGATCTGGTGCTTCGAGGACCCGACCTGCCCAGGGCAAGGGTGCGTCGAGGATTCCGGCTGCCGGTACTGCGATGCCTCGGCGATCGGCGGGCCATCGTACGATGGTGAGGCGTGCCCTTCGCCAGCGCCGTCTTCGGGCTGCACTGCGGACGCGAAGCCTTGCGCAGCACCGCATGCCAACTCGGCTATCTGGTGCTTCGAGGACCCGACCTGCCCAGGGCAAGGGTGCGTCGAGGACTCGGGCTGCCGGTACTGCGATGCCTCGGCGATCGGCGGGCCATCATACGATGGCGAGGCGTGCCCATCTATCCAGTCTCTCGGTGCCGCACTGGCCGCCGACGAGGGCTGCGACGGGATGACCTACACGAGAAACTACGCCGAGGGCACACCGCACGAATGCAGGTGCGACAGCTACTGCGACGACTTCTGCGACGATGGGCCGAATGGCTGCGCCAGGACGTGCAGGATCTTGAACGGAATTTTCGAGCACATCCCGTCCGTACATGCAGGCGACCGCACTTGCACCTGGTACGCGCACTACGTGACCAACCCGATGAACTACGAGGGCTACGATTGCTCGTGGATGACTGGCACTGGCGAGGGCGGCCATGGAGACGATTGTCAAGATTGGACGTCCGTTGGCGCCTTGAAGTGCCGGGAGGGAAACCAGAACCAGAACAATTGCCACTTCTAATCATGGTGAGTGTTCCCGAGGAGAAGGTCTTCCCGATTTCAGAAATCTTGTGGTGGGCGAAGGGGTTGAGATGCATTATACCCAGCTTTTTCAGGCTCAGTCCACTGCCTCTTCCAGCCAAGAGCGTGCGGAAGAGAGTACAGAGAGCATGATTCGTAGATGATGGAGATACACTAGCATCCTACCAGTGCTTCCCATCACCAAAAGTTTGGACCGTTGTGGGGGTCTGGGGCACTTCGCAGACGTGCTGTTCGCACAAACCGCAGCTGTAGGAAATCTTGACGCTTCGCGCCCCATCCAGAAACGATCCCCAATCGAGGTACCTTGATCCGGAACGCAAGGCTGAATGCAGCCCAGGAGCGAACCATGCATGTCTGTGTGGGTCGTTCGAAGGACGTGGAGGGAGAAGGAGAAGGCTGAGGAGGAGGAGGGGCCAGCGTAATGAAGAGATCTTTAACGAAAGACGCTCCCATTCAATATCCGGTGAGTCCCAGGTTTGAGGAGGGGGGAAAGAAGATATGAGGAGAAGGAGGAGGGGTAGGAGGAGGAGTAGTAGTAGGAGGAGGAGGAGGAGAAGGAGGCGGGAGGACGAGAAACAGGAGCTCTTGGATGAATATGAGGGTCTCTTGGGCTGCCTCTCATTCGCAATGTGTTATTTTTTCTCTACCCGCCGACGCGTGTCATACGGACCTGGAATTCCCCAAGAAGGCCCCATCGTGTGATTCGTAATCGGAGAAGGGGGTTCCGAATGGAGAAATTCAAACGTTACGAGTCAGTTTCGCGCTAATCGTTTCCATCCACGGCTTCCTGCAAGGCCGTTTCGAGGGCCCCTTCTGAATTCTATGTACGATACGGGGCTCCGATTCTACTAGTCGGGCCGCTGCTTCTGTGTGCCGTCCTAGCCTGGCTCAAGCGAGACGCCGATGAGATCGCTAGGCATGGCGCTCCAGGACGTTGCTCTGCTTTCTGGTGCTAGCCTGGCTATGACAAAACGGCCCTGGGATCGCCAGGAATGGCGTTCTGGGACGTTACGGTTTTCCTGGTTTCAGCCTGGCTATGACGAAACGATGATGAAAGCCACGAAGTGCGCTAGGGTTCGAACTTTCCAACCTTATGGACGAGTTTTTGGAGCTCTGGCACAGGACTTCCTCACCAAAACGACGCCGATCATAACGTTGCGAATCCGTAGATAGAAACAATTGAATTGTTTTTATTCAGGAGTACTCAACGTTATGATCGTCGTCGTTTTGGTGAGGACGTCCTGTGCCAGAGCTCCAAAAACTCATTCATAACGTTGGAAAGTTGCAATCCTGTCGCACGTCGTGGCTTTTATCATCGTTTCGCCATAGCCAGGCTAGGACCGAAACAACGGTAACGTCCCAGAGCGCCATTCCTGGCGATCGCAGGCTCGTTTCGTCAAAGCCAGGCTAGCACCAGAAAGCAGCGCAACGTCCTGGAACGCCATGCCTGGCGATCTCATCGGCGTCTCGCTTGAGCCAGGCTAGGACGGCACACGGAAACAGCGGCCCGAGTGGTACTCATGTGGCGAAGAAATTCAAAACAAAGCTTACCGAATTCAAATGGACCCGCTATGGTTTCGGCAGGCCCAAGCTAGGGCGGCCCGAGCCAGGGCGACAAAGTGGCGCCTCGACGATGGCGCAACTGAAGCTGCAGCTAATAAGACATATCCCCACGACGCTCTCTCGCGACCCCACAGGCCATAGGCCCACCGTATACGAGATGGCAGCCGCGGGTGTAAAAAGTCAACGCGCAACCAAGTCATAACATTAGAATATTACCTTTTCAAAGAAGATGAATGCAGTCTGGGCCACGGCGATGTGGTACCCAAAAGCATACACTTGTGCTTCGCGTGTTTCTATTTTTTTTACATTTTCGGCGGCGGCTGCCGATCGTGCCCAGCTTAGAACCCGCGGACTTTGAACGACGAGATTGAAGCGTTACGAATCAGGTTCGCGTTAACTTTTCCATCCACGGTATTGTTACATGTATTGCTGCTCTTGCTACCGCTACGGGTACAACAATTACGATTTCGATGATTACGACGGCTGCTGCTACTAGTCGTGCTACTATTGCTACTACTGCTGCTCCTCCTCCTCCTCCTACTACTACTACTACTACTACTACTACCACTACTACTACTACTACTACTACTACTACTACTACTACTACTACTACTACCATTACTACTACGACCACTACTGCTAGTGTTATTATTGCTGCTGCGACCACTACTTCTCCCACTACTACGATTGATTCTACTGCGACGACGGCTGCGATTACACTTACTATTGTTATTATTAGTATTACAATTTTTACGGCTACGACTACCACTATTACCACCACCATTACCACTACGACTGCTAATGCGATCAATACCGTTATGACGTTAGTGTTCGTGGTACCACTATTGTTAGTACTACTATTGTTGGTTCCACCACTATTATTATCACCAATACCATTACGCAGAACATGACAGCCAAAACTAGTACTGATGATACTGTTCAGCTATGGGGCGACCGCGACCGCGCATACTACTACTGCTACTGCTACTGCTACTGCTACTGCTACTGCTACTGCTACTGCTACTACTACTTCTACTACTACTACTACTACTACTACTACTACAACTACTGGTACGACTGGCACCACTACTTTCCACTAGTACTAGTAGTTGTAGTATTGGTAGTAGTAATAGTAGTAGTAGTAGTAGTAGTAGTAGTAGTAGTGGTGGTGGTAGTAGTAGTAGTAGTAGTAGTAGTATTGAAACCGTAGTAGTAGTAGTAGTCGTAGTAGTAGTAGTAGTAATAGTAGTAGTAGTAGTAGTAGTAGTAGTAGTAGTAGTAGTCGTAGTAGCAGTAGTCGTTGTAGCAGTAGCCGCAGTAGTAGTATTAGTAGTAGCAGTAGTAGTAGTAGTAGTAGTAGTAGTAGTAGTAGTAGTAGTAGTAGTAGTAGAAGTAGTCGTCGTAGTCGTAATGGCAGTAGTAGTAGTAGTAGTAGTAGTAGTAGTAGTAGTAGTAGTAGTAGTAGTAGTAGTAGTTGTAGTAGTAGTAGTAGTAGTAGTAGTAGTATTATTATTCTTAGTAGTAGTAGTAGTAGTAGTAGTAGTAGTAGTATTAATAGTAGTAGTAGTAGTTGTAGTAGTAGTAGTAGTTTTATTTTTAGCAGTAGTAGTAGTAGTAGTAGTCGTAGTAGTAGTAGTAGTAGTAGTAGTAGTGGTGGTGGTATAATGACGAGTACCACTACTACCACGACTACTACTACCACTACTACTGCTACTACTACTACTACTCCTACTGCGGCTACTACTTCGTTTAGTACTACTACGACTACTACTTCTTTTGCTGTTACTACCACCGTTACTACGACTACTACGACTACCAACACCACTACCAGTACTAGTACTACGACTACGACTACGACTACTACTACTACTACTACTATTATTACTACTACTACTACTACTACGACTTTTAGTACTACTAGTACTACGACTACGACTACTACTACAATGAGCCCCAAATCTGAGCCACATCAATGATGTGTGCCTTCGCTGAGACCATCGCGGCCGTTTTTGCGACCCGTGGCCCTCTCCTTCCAATCCCAGGGGGGGGGGTCGGGTGATGGGCAACCTTCCCAAAGGGCAAGCATGGGGCGGAAGAGGAAACGCCCTAAACCAGTCACGCGCTAAAGAGCTGGTGGGATGTTGTCACTGCTGATGGGAAATATTGGAGTTGTGGTCGGAGGAGCGGGAGGGGGGCGCGGGATCTTTGAACTGCGGGTATCTGGCGATAGGAACGGCATCTTGGGGGCCTCTTGGGCCGTCCTGGGGTGCTTTTCGGGTCGTTTTGGGGGCCTGTCAGGCCGTCGTGGGGGCAATCTTGGGGGCTTTTTCGGCGATCTTGGGGCCGTCTTGGGAGCCTCTTGCGCCCTCTTGAGCCGTCGGAAGGCCGAACAGAAGCAAGTGCCCATATCCCTCCCGAACAAAAGGAACATCAATGATTTGGGTACACTCGGGCCCTCCTGGACACCTCTTGGAGGCTTCCTGGGCAGTTTTTGATGCTTGTGGGGGCTTCTTTGGCCATCGTGGAGGCTTCGTGGGCGGACTTGGAGGTATCTTGGACCCGCTTGGGCCGTCTTGGAAGCCATCTTGCTCTTGGGCCGTTTTGGAGGCTAATTCAGACCTTGGGCAAACTTGGAGGCCCTCTTGGGGCTGTTTTTGGATTGTTTTTACCTAACAGCGAAGACTGATAGGTTTCTAGTGGTCTCAAAAGAGCTCACAGATCACTCCACAGGGGGGTCCGGGCAGGTGTTGGGGCGTTTCCGGGCGGCATGAGCCGGGCTCGTTTTTCACCAACAGTCACACACTTCGTGCTCTTCGCCTTCCCAGAACTCCATTCCCAGGCCACATTCTGGGGGGCCGGATGCAACTGTAGGCCACTTCGTGCTCTTCGACATCCCAGAACGCCATTCCCGGGCCACATTCTGGGGGGCCGGATGCAACTGTAGGCCACTTCGTGCTCTTCGACA